CTCATTCAACGCGTCTATGTGTCCGGCACTCCAACATCACTCAACCCGTGGGGTTCCAGCAGCTATCCCCACGCAACCCGTCTATGTGTCTGGCAATCTCAAACCTCCCCTTTCCGTGGGGTTTCAGTATACAGCTATAATCACTCAACACGTCTATGTGTCCGGCAATCTCCTACATCACTCAACCTGTGAGGTTTTCGTAAGCAATCCTCACTCCACGCATCCATGCGTCACGCGTCTTTGGTAGCGCATACTATGGGGGCTATATTTGGGGTGGCGTGTTTTACAGCGCTTTGCCAACAGCGCCAACCCACTGAAGTCTAGATTTTGCGATGGGGGGGGGGGTGCTACAATTTTTCGTAGGTCTGGTGGGTTGGAAGAGGAGGGCAGGACTTGTCCGTGGGCTAGGTTGGGAGGAGTGGAAGGACTACCCACAGTAGGCACACACGGAGAGGAGGTGGAGTACAGTGGCTGTTCGTAACGTCTGGCAAGAAACAGGCAGAGATGCAGGCAGAGAAGGCGACAAGCAGGGAGTGCGCCGTGGGGGATCGTCTTCCCCTTGCTGCTGTTTCACCTCGATCGCGCGTTTTCGCGATAATTGATGGCCGCGGCCGTGTTGTTCCCCTTCCTTCTCCCCCCCCCCCCTGGGGNACAACGATGCCATCCATCCGTTCGCCGTAGCAAAAGCAGAACGGTAACCGTGGGCAACACGCTGGGCCCGGTGGCGACGCCCGCCGCCGCCGCCCGCAAGCTCGCCTCCGCCTTCCCGGGACTCCTCTACGGCGCGCGCCTGTGGGCCGGTTCCCTGGGGTCCTGGGCGTCCCGGCGTTCCCAGCAGTGGGCAGATGCGTTCGGGCCGGAGGCGGTGGTGCTGCCGGCGAACGACTGGTCTGTCTGCACGCTGCTGGAGAAAGTCAGGGAGGGGGACGGGGGCTTGTACCGGTACCGCTTCGCCTTGCCGGTGGGTATGGGAGGGACTCGTGTGTTTGCATGCCTTGTTTGTTAGACCTGTGGGGCGCGCGTCCTCGAGAAGAGGCCGGCGCGATGTGCTGGGGTTTCGCCGACCCAGGCTACGGTGAACCAGAACCTGGCCATCACCCTCGCGATTGCTGTGCCAATACAGACATGCAATGAGGGATGTGTTTCTCGGCAGCATGGGTCTCGTGATTGACCAAAAAAAAGGTGGCCAGTCTTCTTGTGGCCAAGAACGGAAAACGCCGCGATTTTTTGTGTGCGTTTCTTGTAGAAGCGTCGATCACCTTAGCTCAACGACCAACGATGATGCGCCATCGGTATATCGTTACAGATAACTAAGACGTATTTGTACAACTAGTGACCCCCCCCCCCCCCCCCCCCCCCCCCCCCCCCCCCCCCCCCCCCCCCCCCCCCCCCNCCCCCCCCTCCCCCCGTACCCTCTTTGCTGCTTACTGCTACGATACCCGTGGCCACTACGTTCCAATGCAACAGAGCGTACTACCGCTATTTGCTACCAGTGTTCGTGCCATTCATACCGTCGGCCGTCCTTCTGTCCATTAGTCCGCGCTTTTCGATTGCCGCCGGTGCCGCTCTCGTTGGGAACTTCCGACGACCTGGCATGCCATCTCTTGTTGTTACTGAACTCTTTCCGGTGACCCGACATACGATCTCTGTTGTTGCCTGTTTGTCGTCGTGGAGTATTCCAGAGCTCGCCTGACGCGGTCCTGCCTCTCGAGCTCGGACAGGAGCTGACCTTGTGCGGGCTGGATGCCTCCAATGAGGTAAACAGAAGTAGTTGTTGTCTTCACATTAAAGAAAAGCAGACACACACAAGTATATACATGAATACAAATAAGCGTCTGCGGGGTCCCTGGTGGAGAATGCTCCGTTGTCCGGGAGGGTGCTGTATACCCAAAGGGGGGAACCCCCTGGTACTGGGTCCCTTGAGAGACGAACCACTTGACCAGCTGCTGTTAACCGTCGCGTTCCAGCCGGTCGCCCGTCTGCGAGTGCAAGGCTAAGGCTTCTCAGGAGTAGGGTGTACTCTTGTACCTGTTGTAGGACTCGTGGCAATTGTCACTGAGGCTGAATGCGATCTAGTTTATTCCTTCTTTCGTAGAAGTAGAAGCTTTTGCTGATGTGTCCATCAATTGTACCGAAAAGCGTGAAAGACCGACCTCGACAACCATGGGGATAGCGCAAAAACAAGAGGGCATAGCTGTCGGGAGACGTACGCATACGCGGGGGGACGGTACATACTCTGCTTTCACCCCCCGTTTCACCGACATGCTTTCCTTCACCATGTCCGGCCTTTCGAAGTGCTCGTCATTCCTCATTTTTCGCCAGCTACGTTTAGACACATGGTCTCAGACCGACCTTCATTGTAGTGGTTGCCACTCCCGCCCATTTTTTTTCGTTGTCTTCACTTCAAATCAGCGACGCGCATGATTTTAGTCTGTTGCTGTGGCGGGCGCTGTTCACCTGTAGGCCGGAGCGGGAGCGCCTTGTCTATGTTGAAGAGGCGGGATAACTGGTGCCGTTTCGTTCACCCAAGAAAATGTTTTGGACCTGTCTATATTTTTCCTATGCATGCTGCGGTCGGTGCACCGCATCGGCAGGAAATAGTATCGTACTCCTACTGCTGCGCATACACTCTGTACCCGGTGTGTTGTCACGTCTCGTCGAGAGCTAGCTCTCTTCCCCCTTTCTCGCACGAACGACTGCTGCTGCTGTGAAGTCTATTGCTGTGATGACTTCGTAGTAGATATCATTGGAAGAAAAATGATGGTCTGTGCCTTTTCGTTCAACTGTCGGTTTTTTCTTTTTCTTCGGGGGGGGCGGGGCGGGGGGGCGTGTTAGGTGGTGCAGGGCAACTACGTGCCTCTCACGCCCCGCAAGCTGCGGGGAGCCTTCGAGGTCGTCGTGATGAAGGCGACGGACGGGGCCGAGCTGGACGATGGCCTGCCGACCACCCGAAGTAACCGAGAGTTCTCCCGCTTCCTCGACAACCTGCCCCTCGGTGCGTGTGAAACAAAATTAATGATATGAATGCCGGCCAAGGTGTCTTGGCGTTGGTGTTTTGTGTGTGTGTGCGAGTCGTTGGAGGTACTGTAGGTTTCTACCGCCATGACCGGCTGGCGAACATGTTTTAGTTTTGCTTGTGCCTACTACGTCGCTTCCTTGTATCTTGTGCTTCCGCCGCCGCTGCTGCTGCTGCTATCAATCATCGCAGGCTTGGCGTTTTCCCTCGGTTGTGGTCTTGGCAGCGAGTAATTTAACGCTCTACCATCCGTCCTTCCCCATTTCTCGCATGACATCGCAATAAGCAACACCTCCCCCTTTGCACCAACCACCAAAACCACAACCTTACAGGAGACGAGATAGCGGTGAAGCCGGGGCGCGCGAGGCTGGTGTACGGGGGCGCCAACCAGCCGATAACGGACCTCGTCCTCGTCGCCAATGGGGTGGGCGTCGTGCCGATGATCCAGATGGTGAACGAGCTCTTGCCTTCCTCGTCGTCTTCGGTGGCTTCCGCGTCTGGTGAGAGGAGGGGGGTTTCGCGGATTTGCTTGAAATTGTGTGTGCGGGGGGGGGGGGGGG